GGAGGTTAACCTAATGTCCCATGTCCCAGTCATTTCCCCTTTATTTAATAAAGTTTTATTTTTCAAAATGTACAGTTGTTGGGACCTGTTTCTGAATCTTTAATAGCAGCTGGGCATGGGGGGGTCCCCATCCTTGGTATTTCTAGTGTAAATTACTTGAACTTTGTGCTTTGAAACCAACATAATAAGTATTTTACTGAGGAGCTCCCGAAGGGGTGCCCTGGCCAGGGAACTGCCAATGTTCAGTCTTTCATAGACAACAGCTGGGCATATGAGCTTATAGTTGAGAACTTGCTATGTATCATATGTGTTTTTGTCAAGATTAGGTTATTATGCTTGTCCCTTGTCATCCTTGGGTAACATCATGGAGCTCAGAGAGCAGCTGCTACCACTGTAGCCTCACTGACATGTCGAACAAAAAGCTGGCCACTATCAGCCCATAGGGTCCATAATATTGCTTAATTTCTTCTGTATATTAAAGATGTTTTTCTTCTGAAGTTCTGTTTACCCTGAGCAAAGAAAAAATGAGGGGTAAATAGGAAGAAGTCAAAATTATCTCTCTTTATTCCTGAACTTAAAAAAAATATATTTATACTGCTTCTTAAAATAATAGTTAAAATTATATATACATATTGTGTGTATGTATATATATAACACCATTTATAAAGTGTTGCTTAAGTGTGTTTAATTTCAAACTCATAACCCCCCTTAGAAAGATAGATTGTATCATGGTAGGCAACATTTTATTTCTGGCTATTATATCTTACATCTTGAGTAGTCATCTTTTTAAATTTCTCATTGCTGCCTATTGTCATCAGGTTGGCAGGCTTTAGGATTGGCTTTCTTTGCTTAGGTGATCCCCAGATAAGAGTGTTAATAATTGCCCTAGCTCCGTGGTTGGCAAACCGTGGCTCGCGAGTCACATGTAGCTTTTTGGCCCCATGAGTGTGGCTCTTCCACAAGATACCACGTGGGGGCGTGCACATACAGTGCGATTGAAACTTTGTGGCCCATGCGCAGAAGTCGGTATTTTGTGGAAGAGCCGGTATTTTGTGGAAGAGCCACACTCAAGGGGCCAAAGAGCTGCATGTGGCTCGCGAGCCACAGTTTGCCGACCACTGCGCTGATTTGGCTCAGTAGATAGAGCATCAGCCTGCGGACTGAAGGATCCTAGGTTCGATTCCAGTCAAGGGCACATGCCCAGGTTGTGGGCTCAAACCCCCAGTAAGGGGTATGCAGGAGGCAGCCAATCAATGATTCTCATCATTGATGTTTCTATCTCTCTCTCCCTCTCCCTTCCTCTCTGAAATCAATAAAAATATATTTTTTAAAAAATGAGTGCTGCCGAAACCGGTTTGGCTCAGTGGTTAGAGCTTCTGCCTGCAGACTGAAAGGTCCCAGGTTCAATTCCGGTCAAGGGCGTGTACTTGGGTTGCGGGCACATCCCCAGTAGGAGATGTGCAGGAGGCAGCTGATCGATGTTTCTAACTCTCTGTTTCTCTCCTTTCCTCTCTGTAAAAAATCAATAAAATATATTTTTTTAAAAAAAATGAGCGCTAATAATTAACACAACTCACGCTAGAACGAAGGAATTCTGGTTGAACTATAGTAAGTAGCATCACTCATAAATTTCCCTGATTTAAATAAAATCTTAGGAGTCCTTTATTTTATTTCTTAATTTTAAAAATTGAATTTATTGGGGTGACAATAACTTTATTGCAAAACCATACAGGTTTCAAGGGTGTAGCTCAATAGAACATTATCATTGCCCCAAGCAAAGGCTCTGCCCCAATTTTCCCCCTCTTTCCCCACCTCCACTACCCTCCCACTACCTTTCCCCTCTATCACCGCACTGTGGTCTGTATCTGTGTGTTCTATGTATATGATTTTTGGTTAAGCCCTTTACCTTCTTTCATCCAGTCCCATCCTCTCTGACAACTGTTAGTCTGTGCCGTGTATACATGCCTTTGTTTCTATTTTGTTTGTCAGTTTATTTTGTTCATTAGATTCCATATGTAAGTGTGATCATATGGTATTTGTCTTTCTATGACTGCTTTATTGCAGTTAGCATAATAATTTCCAGGTCCAACTATGCTGTAAAAAAAAAGTGTGATTGTCTTTCTTTTTTTTTTTAATTAAATCTTTATTGTTCAGATTATTACATTAGTTACTCTTTTTTCCCACCATAACTCTCCTCTACCCAGTTCCCACCCCACCCTCCGCCCTCACTCCCCACCCACTGCCCTCATCCATAGGTGCACGATTATTGTCCAATCTCTTCCCTCACCCCACACCCCTTGCCCCCCCCAAGAATAGTCAGTCCATTCCCTTTCTATGTCCCTGATTCTATTACAATCACCAGTTCATACTGTTCATCAGATTATTTATTCACTTGATTTTTAGATTCACTTGTTGATAGATGTGTATTTGTTGTTCATAATTTGTATCTTTTTCTTCTTCTTCCTCTTCTTAAAGGATACCTTTCAGCATTTCATATAATACTGGTTTGGTGGTGATGAACTCCTTTAGCTTTTTCTTATCTGTGAAGCTCTTTATCTGGCGTTCACTTCTGAATGATAGCTTTGCTGGATAAAGTAGTCTTGGTTGTAGGTTCTTGGTATTCATCACTTTGAATATTTCTTGCCACTCCCTTCTGGCCTGCAAAGTTTCTGTTGAGAAATCAGCTGACAGTCGTATGGGTACTCCCTTGTAGGTAACTGATTTTCTTTCTCTTGCTGCTTTCAGAATTCTCTCTTTGTCTTTTGCTCTTGGCATTTTAATTATGATGTGTCTTGGTGTGGTCCTCTTTGGATTCCTTTTGTTTGGGGTTCTCTGTGCTTCCTGGACTTGTAGGTCTATTTCTTTCACCAGGTAGGGGAAGTTTTCTGTCATTATTTCTTCAAATAGGTTTTCAATATCTTGCTCTCTCTCATCTTCTGGCACCCCTATAATTCTGATGTTGGTACGCTTGAAGCTGTCCCAGAGGCTCCTTACACTATCTTCGTATTTTCGGATTCTTTTTTCATTTTGCTTTTCCGGTTGGGTGTTTTTTGCTTCTTTGTATTTCAAATCTTTGACTTGATTCTTGCGACCCTCTGGTCTGCTGTTGGGAGTCTGTATAATACTCTTTATTTCAGCCAGTGTATGCTTAATTTCTAGTTGGTCTTTTTTCATATCCTCCAGGGTCTCACTAAATTTATCAACGGTTTCTAGAAAATTCTTAAAAAAACCTTTTAATTGTGGTTTTGAACTCTATATCCAGTAGTTTGCTTTCCTCCATTTCTGTCATTTGTGACCTGTTTCTTTGTCTCCGCATTTTTTATGCTTCCCTGTGTTTGTAGAGTGGCTTTGTGTGCTAGGTGTCCTATAGGGCCCAGTGGCTCAGCCTCCCCAATTACCTGAGGTGGACAGTCTTGGTGCACCCCTTTGTGGGCTTTGTGCACAGTCTTGTTGTAGTTAAGCCTTGATTGTTGTAGGTATCACTGGGAGGAATTGACCTCCAGGCCAATTGGCTGTGAGAGTCAGCTGTGTCTACGGTGGGAGAACTTCTGTGCTGAAGACACCCTTATGGGGCAAGACTTGCTTCAGTGGGGCTTTGGTGCTTGCTGAGTCTGCCCCCTGAGTGTGTCCCTTATGGATCTGAGGAGTTGTAATCTGGATGGTCCCACTCTGACCACTGGGTACACTGGCTCTTGGATCTAAGGAGGTGCTAATTTAGCCTCTGCCTGAGGCTACCCAGCAGGAGCTACAAAGAGATCTGCAGATTCCCCTTCCTTGTTTGGGATTTTGAGGTGCCCAGATGAGGCCCAGCTGTGAAGCAATGCAAGCTGCTGTGGGGCCTTGGGCCTTCTCTTGGAAGTTCTGGGTCTGTCTGGCCCAGTTGCAGTTTGTTAGGTAATTTTCAGATTGCAAAGGGCCAGGGCATTCATATGCAAAAGTCTCTGCCTCAGCTTGGGTGGGGTAGGGTCTCAGGGAATCAACAGGGCAAAGCAAACAGCTATGGCTGGTCCTCAGCCCTGCCCTCAGGGGCCCCGAGTCTCAGTGTCCCAGGGTAATCACTGCAATCACCTCTGAGAGAAAGCAGCCCTCAAGTTCCAAGTTCTGCCCGATGCCAGACAGTCCAGTTTCTCCCCGTATGAGTCTGGGTCCCTAGAGACTTCCCGGAACTGGAGTTCAGCGCAGTTAGGGCCTTGTGACTCCCTCCCGATTCAAAAAGACAGCCGCGCCCTCAGTTGCCAGCCCTTGCTGCGTTCGCCTCCGTACCTCTGCACTTTACTTCTGCACCTCCTCTGAGTCTCAGTGTGCTTTTCTCTTTCCTTCTACTTGTAGAATTTCCATTCAGCCAGCCTTCCTATAGTTCTGGATGATGTCCGTTTTGTCTTTTAGTTGTATTTTTGTAGATGTTGTGGGAGGCAGCAATTTCTGGTGTTTACCTATGCTGCCATCTTGGTTTCTCTCTCTTTTTTTTTTCTTTACGGCTGAGTAATATTCATTGTATAAGTGTATCACAGCTTTTTTGACCACTCATCTACTGATGGGCATTTGAGCTGTTTTCAGATCTTGGGTTTGTGAATAATACTGCTACGAACATAGGGGTGCATGCTAGTATATTCTTTCGAATTCGGCATTCTTAGGATATATTCTTTTTTTATAGATAAGACTACTAATATCCATATGTGTTACCTACGTTAATAAAAGCATATGCAAAGTATATTTCTACTTGTGAATGAACATTTTATGTATTACTCCAGCACTATACATTATGTTTTAATGTTGACTTGCTCTTATATCACAGCTGCTGAGAGCCATATACATGCATGTTAAAATGTAGACCTTTAATGAAAGAGGAGAGTAGAGTGTAGTGCTGTGTAGTGAGTAGCTGCCATATAGTCGTGGTGAAACTTAGTGAATTTACAACTGAGAATGTGCAGTAGTACAGCCCTTCTGTCCTGTGAACTAACAGCCAGATTGTTTGTAATTTCCCATGCTATTTAAAACAGGGTTCTCATGTATCAGCCGTCTTCTGTAAGGGTGCCCAGTGTGACTTCGGTTGATCCTGCTGCTATTCCGCCTTCATTAACAGACTACTCAGTACCATTCCACCACACGCCAATATCAAGCATGTCATCAGATTTGCCAGGTATGTGAAGATTTATTTTTGTTTGTTTGTTTCTTATTAAGTCTTACCATTTATTTTTAATCTTAACCTGTGGAGCAAATAGAGTTTTAAAAATGTAAATAGAAATGCTAAGGAAATTTGAAAACTTCATATAGAGGTAATGTCTGTTTTAATATATCATATTCATTTCCTATCATCTTATCTTCAGAGCAATCTATAGATTCCTAATAATAGGAAAGACAGTAGGATAGTAGGAAATGTTTATAGATTTTATTTTCCTTCAGAGAAGATTTGCACTCAGAGGTTTTCCTTAGCTTATTTATTATTCAGGCTTATAGGTTAGGGAGAGAGTATTTTCTCATACTCTTCTTGGTAGTCCATCACAACTTGGGGTGTTGCCAACAGCTTTACCTTGTGATTTTCCCCTGTAAAAATAGGATCTACCAGCTGTCTCCCTAGAGCACTACTCAATATCTGAAACATATTTTACATATATATATTAACTCAACATTTAAAAATTCAAGGTTATTTGAATTACCTTAGTACCAAGACCTGTGCAACCAGGGCCATATTATACATTTAAACTCTGCCCTTCTCCCCTCTCTGTATACCCAGTGTTTTTACAGACATTTTTGATCTATCAAATGTGAGCAAGTTAGAACCAGTACCTCTTAATATTCATGACTTCCCTTCTTTCTAAAGGGTGCTTTTAGTGGAATACAATTCCCTCTTCCAATTAATTAATTTTCCCCACCAGATTTCTGAAGTTAATTTTAACACTCTTAGGGAGGTCTTTATTGTAAGAACAATATATACTCTTTAGGACAAAATTTGTGTTGTTTGAAACAGTTGATGGTTTTGTTATCTGGCCAATTCAAATACAATTTAATGGAAAAGAATAGACTAAAAATACTATCCATCAAAAAAATTGTAAATACCTTTTCTTAAATATGTTTAGTACTTTGGGAATTGGTATTTAAATATGTTTAGTCCATGTGTACTTTGGGAATTGGTATTTTAAAAAATTGTTTGCAAACCCAGCCATGACCAGTTATAAAGTATTTTTTGTATCCAAAGCTCAATGCTAAAGTATAGGTGAGGTCTCAAGGTCCATAAGAAATACACTCAGAGTAGTCTTAATTTCTAACTGCTATGTTTTGCTCTAACTTTGGCTAGTTTTAAGTGAAGTTGAAGAGTGTCCACATGTCATCTTAGTATATGTTATAAACATTTTTTAAGGATTTGTTTCCTAAAGACTTTGAATTAAAAATTGATCTGGAAAAAAGATTATAAACTTTCATTTACTAAAGTGATTCTGGCCATTTAGCAGTAGAATAGACACAATTTATAAATCACTTGCTCTGTTTTCAAATTATGTGATTCTGAATGAATTTTTAGCTTTAGAGAATTTACAGTTTTTCAAAATTTGGGTATAAATTGAGACTATTTTATAAAATGTGCAGATTTGAGAAAAATGCAGTAAAATATGTTAACTGTATATTTCATAAAATACACTTCAAGCCTGGTATTAAGGAACTAAGACTAATATTCAGGCCAATATAAACCAATATGGTAATACTGGTTATTAAAATGTTGAAATGCTTTTTACAAGTTGATAAACTGAATAGGGTCTATTGTACTTTATAAGAATTAACAGTTTTATCATCATCTGTGATTCATGTAGCAGTCACTACATCTAAATAGCTTAGTTTTTACTTTGGTTTTATTGTTAGTGTGCTCTTTTGTAATTAGTAGTTACTTTGCTTTTATTTTTGTGCATAAATTTTATGTAATTAGTCATACTATACAGAGTTGATATTTATAAATTTAATAATTTATAATAAATATTAAATAGAACACCAAGAATAGAGATAGCATTTTAATACATTTCTTAACATTCTTTTTAAACATCATAAACATGAATCTTCTGAATCTGCAGGGGAACAAAGAAGAAATGATATTAATAATGAACTGCAGCTTGGAACATCTTCTGATACTGTGCAACAGTGAATTCAAAATAAAACATAATTTGTATTTATGGAATGGAAAACAGCTTGATTATTTCAAGAAAAAATATGACTGCCTTATTATTACTAGTGACATATTGTCAGATGTGAATGGTGCTCAAAAGTTGTGTCATTAAAATTTGGAAGTGCTAAACATTTACATATTTAATCATGTAGCAACCATGTTTGGTTAAAGTTCATGGCTCAAGTAAGGAAGATGTTATTCTTAGTAAGACATGTAGAGTCAGTTTCACATAAAGACACATTTAAAATCTAAAAGCAACAATTTTAACTGTTAATAGAACAAACATTTAGAATGTACCATGAGAATTTTTAACCTGCTTTTTAGTTAAAAATAATTGAGCACATTTTCAACCTTGAAATACTTAGGAGGGCATAAATATATATTAATATAATCTATTGTTTCAGTTGAAAGTTATGGTTAAATAAGAGAACAGCATTTTGCTAAATTTATAAAATAAGGATGTAACAATCACTATGAAACTTCAACTATTTCATATGAGTTTTAATAGTCCACCTAAAATATAAAATGCAAGACTTTGATAATGCAGTTTATTGGAAGGAATAACATCTGAAATACTATATCAAATTTTAGAGATGGTGTTTGAGAAAAAATGGTTTCACGGAGAAATATTTACATTAGAACATTATTGGATTTTGTATAGACAGCATCTGTATAATGCTGGGGAGACAGCTTAGAATTTCAACCAAGAGCTTAGAAAAATGTGTGGGTATTTTACGATCTATAATAACAAAAGCATAATATGCTAATTAGATTGGACGTCCTTCTGGACGTCTTTCCTTGTGGACAAAGCCTCAGCGGGGGTGGGGAGGTTGCAGGGGGCTGAGGCAGAGGTGGCAGAGGCCCCGGCTGTGGCGGCAGGCAGGGGCCAAGGGCCTTGCACAAATTTCGTGCATTGGGCCTCTAGTGCATTATGTAAGTCACCATATTCATTGATCCGTGGATGAGGTGTCAAAAGATAGAGATCAAGTGAATCTCTTAAATCACATGAAACAGTAAAGAATTACAATATATCTAAGAGCTGAAATAATGAAAATAGGAAGTCTCTGCACCTCAGTGGACAGCCTTCAGTTCTGGAGCTGTAAAAAAAAGTCTGAAAATTACAAGTCTGTGTGTTTATTTAAATTGAAGTTATGAAATGGGACTAAACATTTAAAAAATGAGCATTTTTGGGTGATTGGCTTCAATATAAATATTCCAGCAGAGATAGCAGTGCTTTCTTAGCTTTTTAAAAGTGTTTGTTATTCAAGTGGACTGAGTGATTAAAAAAACATTAAAAGTAATTGAACATATAAAATCCTATCTAATAAAAGAGCAATATGCAAATTGACTATCACTCCACAAGATGGCTACCCCCATGTGGACACAGGATGGCTGGCAGGGGAGGGCAGTTAGGGGTGACCAGGCCTGCAGGGGAGGACAATTAGGGGCGACAAGGCCGGCAGGGGAGGGTAGTTAGGGGCAATTGGGCCAGCAGGGGAGCAGTAAGGCATCGATCAGGTTGGCAGGGGAGTGGTTAGGGGGTGATCAGGCTGGCAGGCAGAAGCAGTCAGGGGCAATCAGGCAGGCAGGCAGGTGAGCAGTTGGAGCCAACAGTCCTGGATTGTGAGAGGGATGTCCCAGATTGGAGAGGGTGCAGACTGGGCTGAGGGGCACACACACACACACACACACACACACACACACACACACACACACCCCATGCACGAATTTTGTGCACCGGGCCTCTAGTCCTATATAATAAAAGCCTACTGTGCTAAGTGTCGAGTCGGCCATTCAACCAATCAAAGCGTAATATGCTAATGATATGCTAAGGCCGCTCGACTGCTCACTGTGATGTGCAGTGACCACTCAGGGCAGACAACTGGTTGACCAGTCACTATGATGTGCACTGACGACCAGGGGACAGATGCTCCAACTGGTAGGTTAGCTTGCTGCTGGGGTCCGGCCGATCGGTACTGAGTGAGACGGGCCAGACACTCCCTGGAGCCCTCCTTCAGTCCCTCCCCAGCTGGCCAACCTTTCACGTCCCTCCCTGGCCTCGATCATGCACCAGTGGGGTCCCTTGGTCTGGCCTGCACCTTCTCGCAATCCGGGCTGAAGGACCCCACCCCCTCTGAGTGCACAAATTTCATGCACCGGGCCTCTAGTTAATAAAAAGAAAATTGTTACACCATTTGAAGCAAAATAAAATTAATAAAATTAAAAAATTAATTAAATGACATGCCGATAAAGTATTTTTGTGACTCAGTTAATAATGGAGATGTTGAATATATAAAACTCTTGGAAGATATAAGAGTTAGACAAATTTTGAATTGGTGTTCAACAGAAGCAGAGAAAGGATTTACTGAACAAGATCATTAATGTGAAAAGAAATTGCTTATGGAAAAACGTCGCCTACTGAAGTTGGAATCGTTCATTGTGATTCTCTTTGTCCATTGTTATCTCAAACCCTGCTGTGCCATATAGGTAGTGACAGACATACAAAATGAAAAATCATAATAATTTTTTTACATGCTTTATAAATGGAATGGTTTCTTTCAAATGATTGGTGCTATAGTTTCTATTACTTGATAAGCATTGTAAACATAGCTTATTTAGAGATTATAAGGGACTAACTATACTTAAAATGTTTGAGTTATAAATTATTCATTCTGCTTATTAAATATTTTAAAGATAATTTCTACTAATATTCTCTATTTTGAGTAACAGTCTAATATCAGACTTTACTCTGTATGATTGTTATTTAAGGTAACATTGAATGCCAGCAAATAAAAATGTATAACGTTGAATAGAAATTGACCTGTCTTAGTGACCTATACTTAGTATCTTTTTGTTGTTATTGTTTTGTTTGTTTTTAATGTTTTGGAATTTAGTCAAACAGGGACTCCAGGGGAACTGACTTGGAAGTTTATTGATAGACTTTTTAGGCCTGATATTTTAAATTATTTATTGTTATAACTTTAATGCTTTGAAATGGTGTACTGGGCAACCTTTTTCACATTCCTGTTTCTAAAGCTTAGTTGGAGAATCTCACATCTTTGGTTTAGAAAATTGCATTGGCTTATAACCTAGTACGCCTTGATAGGATTTAGCTTGTTAGTGAGCAGAAATTACCAAGGCTTGCTTTGTGCAGAGCATAGAACTGGAGTGATCCCTGGATGAGGTACTGCTTTTAATGTGGAAATAGGGGGACAGAGAGCGCTTCATGAAATAGACATCTGTTTAAGAAGTGGTATTTTAGATGAAGTTCATTGTGATGTATTTCTGACAAATAAATGTGAAGTATCTTAAGAGCTTAAGTATGTTTTTTTAATGGTTCGTATCCAGATCATTATCTCATCCATTTTTTTGCTTCTCGTTCTGTTAAGTGATGAAGCTAAGAAATGTTTGCTTTGACTAGCCCTGCTTCTTCCTTTAAGTCTCTGGGAAGTGATTTTTCCAGATGTTTTTTAGGGAATATGTTCATTTTGGAATTTTATACACATTAAATAGCACTGCTTCTGGTGTAGACCTTTCCTATCATGGAATGGTAAACAGTTAACCCCAAATGTTTTCTGGCTTGTGATAAATATAAAATGATTTTGGGAAATAATTCTTGTCTCCAAAATATGAGACAACTATTAACAAAGCATTTTTGTTTTAGGTTTGGATTTTCTTTCCCTTATTCCAGTTGATCCCCAGGTATGTATCCTGAATTTAAGCAACTAATTTGTATTTGATTGTTGCTTATGTCATACTAACTAAAAATGACCAGTTGCATAAAATCAGGACAGTCAACTCTCAGTTACTTAAATTGATGCAAAGAAAGTACTATATAAATATTTCAGTTTTATTTGGAGAAATAAAGTTGCTGTTTTTCAATTTATGATATTTTTTGGTCTTGATATTTGAACTTGAAATTTTATTTAGTTTAATAATCAGTTGGCATTATCAAGTATTTCAGTGATTAAAATGAGGGAAGCAGTGCTAGATTACTAGAAATTAAAATTGACAGAAATTGTAAAACACTTGTTCTATATAGAGAAAATAGCTAAAACTGATTAAACTGCTTTGAATCATTATCTTGAGTCTTCCTTATTTTTAAAGGCAATCAGATTCAGACTTTGGGGATGCCCCAGCCTAAGTTGCTATAAGTTATAAATTATTCCTGTTTTCTCTGTCAGAGGTAAGAAATTCTAGTATCCCAGAGTCCCAACATGAAGACCTTGCAGTGAGCATGGACCCCACTGGCAGGCGTGTAGCAGAGGCAGAGCAGAGGAGGGAAAGGCATGGGGAAAGCCAGGGGCAAAGTGAAACAGACTTTGAAAGGTGTGTTGAGAGTAGGAAGGGAGTAGAGGAAGAACATGGACCACCACTTCCTAGGTGCTCAGAATCAGCTAACTGCAGGTCTTGTATTGGCCTCCTGTTTGAATACTCTGTATCTGATCACACAAACAACACCGGAAATACTGGCCCCAGGTAACTTGCACAGAATGAAGAATTTCTTCTTCTCACCCTGAATTGACTTTGTGACATCAGTAGATTCTATCGACAACAAAAGTATACCTATATCTTTCTAGGAAATTTATTCTTTGGGCTTAAAATATTACTGATTTTTTTTTTTATGTGAACCATCCTTTTAAAATAAATGACCTTGGAACCTAGAGGATTCAAATTTCATAGTGCTATTTAGCCTGCTAGTGTCAGGCTAACTTTATTGATAAGGCAATAGAAGAGTTAGAGGTTGTGCCTTCAGTCTCCATAGAATCCTTAAGATTTGTTCTACTTTACCTCCATGTTGCCCCATTATTTTTGTGCAGATATGTGCCAGTTACACATAAAGAATGGAGTTACAGGTAAATGCCTGCAACCCGAGTATAATAAATATTCAGTGCATAGAGCCTATTGATAGCAGGACTATAGTATCTAGCATTCATTTTATAAAGGAAGAAGAGCACCTTTTTACTACCACACAATCAAAAACTGCCTGAGAGGCAAAATAAAATGTAAGTTTCTACCTTTTTTCTAGATTCCTTCCCCGATTTTGTTGGAAAGTAGGAAATGTATTTGCTTTTAAAGAAAGTTAATACTTGAGAGTTTAACTTTGCTTAGATCTTTAAGAACAGTATCCCTTGAATTTCCTGGTGCATGACATTCATTTTATTCATGATCCAAGACAGTTATCCATCCTAAACATTAAATTACTTTTTTGAAAGGCAGCTGAATTTAGTTCTTCCTACTGACTAGCAGTTCATACCTGGGGCTTTTTCCCTTATCATTTTGCAGATCACGTAATCTAAACAACCTCAGTTTTAAATTCTGTCCTGTAACTTAGTATCTCCAATGATAGCTGACTATAGAAGTGATAAGATTGATCAGATACCCTTTCATATAGTCTGAAGATAAAATATTTCTCACATAAAATATTCTATAGCGATATAAAAATAAAGCTTTTAGTCTTTCCTCTCTCTCTCTTGATCAATACTAGAATGTTAAACTCAGGTTTGAATTTAAGAATCAGCAACCAAGCTAGTAAGGAAACAAAATGTGAATTCTTGGAGAGGGGTGTCAAGGAAGCATCACAAGAAAAATTACATTAGATTAGATCTTTAAGATTTATTCCAAAATTTTGTGATTACATGACATAGTTCTATGTTCTGGGCATTCCTTGGTAGCTAGCTACCATGTTGTCTCTGAATGCTGTCCTTGCAATTACACAGGTATTGTTACATGTATGTACAGAGGAGTCAAATGCCACTCTTTAGTTGGTCAGTTTTTTGTTTTGATATATATATTTTTTATTGATTTCAGAGAGGAAGGGATGAGAGAGAATAATTGGCTGCCTCCTGCAATGATCAGAATCCAACCGTGACCTCCTGGTTCATAGGTTGACACTCAACATGGAGCCACGTTGGCTGGGCTAGTTGATCAATTTTAACATTATTCCTAACCTGTCTGGTTGATAATAAATTTTGAAAGAATTGTTGAATTTTGAAATAGCATTTTTTGCTCACTACCATTAAAAATAAGTATTTACTATCATTTTGCAGTGTGATTTAAATCTGGTGTAAACACATGTAGCGAGAGATCTTTTTGAGGTTATTTTGAGTCATGATTGTGGGGCCCATATTCACTATTAAATATTGTTGACATTTTTGTAATTGCACCTATATATTTGGTCAGCAAACAAATTCTGCAAGTTTTGAGAATCAAAAATATATGCTACATTCTCTAAGTAATATAAAATATCTAAATTCATGCCATCTTTCATCCAAAGACCTGGAGTTTTGAGAAATTTTAAATCCCATTGGGATTAAAATATGTGGCTCTCACTTGTACATATCTAACAATTTCTAGTCTCTTTATTTGAAATGAATGTAGCCTCTTCCTCATCAGCATCATTGTTTGTTTCAAGCAGTACTGTCCTCCTATGTTTTTGGATAGTCTCACCTCACCCTTAACAGCAAGCAGTACGTCTGTTACCACCACCAGCCCCCATGAAAGCAATACTCATGTTAGCTCATCCAGCAGCAGGAGTGAGACAGGGGTCATAACCAGCAGTGGAAGGAACATTCCTGACATCATCTCATTGGACTGAAGGAGGACTTGCTCGATTCTAGGAATCATTCATCAAAACTGCTCTTTCTTGGATCTCTGGTCCGTGGAAGCTATTTTTTTAATAATAGTTACTTTGATATTTATTGAAACGTCAAATGGATTCTTTTGCTTTCTGAAAGACGAACACAGATAACTGTGGCAAGAACCAAATGACACACATGATTTTCTTATTCATGCTGTACTCTGAGCATCAGATGCGTCAGCCATAACTTTGTCTTCTTGGGAGACGGATTTCAGTTTCATGTTACTGGATGGATTCTACAAATCAGTTAAACATTTCTTGTAATAAACAGCAATAAAATTATGTAAATGTGCAAGTAAACTTTTTTCTAATTAAAAAGGATGTAATCAATGAATTTAAAAGGACAGCAACTTTTGTTTAACCTGACGTGAAGGAAAAATATATGGAAAGAAGTTACGTTTGCCAAATGAGTCGTTTCCACGCAGATTTGTTCTATTTCATTGAACTGATGAAGTCTTGATAAGTGGCCAAAGCGTGGGTTCCACTTTTCTTCCTGATTCCATCAAAGAAAAATGGCCTTTGTGTCATACATTTTTCCCTGGTTGTCATTTACATTCTATGTTATTTGCTACTGAATGCAGAGAGAAGTTCTAGGATCTGGCTGTTCTTTATTGGCAAGTATGTCGAAGAACACTACACAGATTCTACCCTGATGTAATGTGTGTTATTTTTGGTAATTTTATAATCTCATTCTAGAGATTTCTGTAAATTTGGGGCTTGCCTTCTCAAAAAAAAAAAAAAAAAAAAAGTGCTATACAGTCATTGAAGGAAATGTTTTTGGAGTAAGGTGGCTGGAATGTTAGAATTTTGTTCTTATTGTCCAGAATCATTGAGAGCTTAGAGGCAATAGAAGAATGGATTTAGGGGAGCTTGGGAATAACAAAGTTTAATTTGTTCCTAAGAACTTCTTTTGCTCATTTACTTTATAGAATAATATTCAAATCTTGTTGAAACTTTTTAGATTTTAGTGACACTGACCAAGAAAATATGTTTTAGATCTCTGATCATTTTTAAAGAAAAAGCAAATAGCAAGAGATAGGGGTGGTATCGGATTTCCTTTTTATTTTTTAAAGAGAAATCTTTCCTGAGACCACAGAAGACCTGAACCCCACTTTAAAAACCACTCTACTTTCTTTTGCTTTATTTGGCTGCCTAAATAATTTTAGAATTCTCAAGGAGTTAATACTTTCCCAATGTTTAGCTTTCTCTGCCTACTTTACAGATAAACTCTTTTTTAAAAATGGGTAATCTGATTCTCAAGCTGAGTGCCCAGATGAAAAGCACTGAGTTCAGTGAGAACAGGGACGCATGACTTGGGGTTGGTGCAGCTCACGGAGCTGACTTGGCAGTGCTTGGTTTTCACACCTCAAGTTTTCATGGCCTCTGTACACCTTTTGTGCTGATTTAAGATCATGTGATTTTCTGTGTCATCCCTTCTTTGGCTACATCATCATCCCCTTAATGTATTACCCTTTTTGGAGAGCTGCTTATTATTAAAAGCGTGGAAAATAAACTTCCTGCAGTAGTTGTGCCATAGTTGCTAGTTCTATCTTGTCATTAGATTTCAATCCATGTTACAGTCCTTTGGTCCAGATACAGAATATCTTCATAGTAAAGTTTTATGTTGCTGCTTTAAATACAGATGCAATGTCTGTTAACTCTGTAATCAGATAGAAAAAGTAACCTGATTTGTGTGGTATAATTTGTCAATAAAGAAATGATGTATATTTGTTATCATTTTGTTACCCTTTAGATTCTCAGCGACTCCCCTTCCCAATTTAATCAACGGAGTTTTATAAGGTCGATTAAAATGTGAATAGAAGTTTATTTACTTGTTTTTTATAATGGATACCTCTGCTTTTATAGTTGCGATCTGTTTCTTTTTCGATATTTTATGTGAGTAGTTTTAGTGTGCCTTTTAGGTGCTTCCCACTGAAGTTACATATAAATTTTTAATTTATCTTGCGCAGGTATATTTAAAAATCACTATTAAGTTTATAATCTTAAAATTGGGGACTTTTGAGTATACATCTTTGAAGGTGAGCACTTTTCTTTATGCATTTGGCCTTATGACAACTGCATGTTTATTAAGCCATTATCCTTTTTCATTGTGGTCACTAAATATGTTTACCAAGACCCTGACTTTTTTTGTTGTTAATCCTCACTGGTGGATATTTCGTCCATTGATTTTAGAGATGATGGAAGGGAGGGGGCAAAGGGAGAAAGGAGAGAGAGAGAAACATCGATGTGTGAGAGCCACATCAATCAGTTGCCTCCCACATGCACCCCAACCGGGGTGGGGAACCTACAATCCAGGTATGTGCCCTTGACCAGAATCAAATCTGGGACCCTTCCATTCTTGGGCCAACACTCTAACTATTGAGCTACGCTGGCCAGAGCAACCCTGTCTTTTTAACAGTTGATTTTGCTAGCCCGGATTTTTGGTTAACCAAGTATAATGTAGTTCTAGAGGAGATTGTCTTACCCAGGGGTCCTCAAACTTTTTAAACGGGGGGCCAGTTCACTGTCCCTCAGACCGTTGGAGGGCCGGACTATAGTTTTAAGAAAAACTATGAACAAATTCCTATGCACACTGCACATATCTTATTTTGAAGTAAAAAAACAAAACGGGAACAAATACAGTATTTGTATTTGCATGTGGCCCGCGGGCCGTAGTTTGAGGACCCCTGGTTACCTGTTGCTTAGATGTCAGCCAGCTGGTGATTATGTGGAGTACCTTAAGGGAAGGATCTGCTGTTACTAGTCTCTTGCAAACACCTGCCAACCTATATTTTTATCTTTATTCCCATAGAAATGTTAAGGGCTTGTCTTGCTTTGGTACCTCCTGGCAGTGTAGTTGGTGCTGATAAAGCTACACACCTGCAATTCACTTACATTCACTGACTTGACTTTCTGATCCTTAGATGAGCCACTTTAGGATTTCACTTCCATTTCTACACTGTATTTTTCTGTGTATAAGATGCTATATTTTTCTAAAATCGTTAGACTGAAAATTGAGGGGCGTCTTATACACAGCAGTCAGCAGAGGAGAGCCGTGTGGGTGCACAGCTGCCCATATCTTGTCAAACAGGCTTCCTCTAATCACGAGCCTTATTATTACTGATGTCAGCTGATGCCATAATTGGAGGTGGGGCGGAGAGTGCACAGATGCAACAGGGACCTGAGCATTCTGAGCCCATAAAGATGTCAAAAATAAAAAGATAAATACCAGTAAGTGATTGTCTTATTCTGCAAAATTCAAACAATGTAATCAGCTCTGCAAAAGAGCATGGAAAAAGACAATTTGGACCTTCTCCCACTGAATGTATGATCAGACAGTGGAGAAAACAGGAAGAACAACTCCTTAAGATGCCAAAAAAAGAAGGCCTTAAGAGGAAAACCAGCAAAATATTTAAAATACTGATTTCTTAATTTTGGGTTGGAAAATTATACACGGAAAAAAATGGTAAATACCTGGCATCTGTCATAGGATAATTATGAAGGCCTAATGAAACAGTAGAGGTAAATTTAGGCTATGTGCCATTTATCTAATGTGTTTCAGGAAAGCTAGAATGAAAATACCATGATTAGAGATCGTGAGTATAAATTAGTTCTGCAACTCTTGGTATAAAACAAGTTTCCTTAGCATCTTCAGGAATTTGAAGAAAGGTAAGGTGTTGCATTTTGGGTGAAGTGTTCTACAGAGACTTCTGACCTTGAGATTCAGATCTTTCAGATATTCTGCCTTCAGATCAATCTTGGACACTTGATTTAGTGACCAATTATCTGTGTTTCTTCTGCCAATAAAGTCTGCATTAGTTACATTTTGTCTTTTTTTAAAAAAGTTGATTTTTACAAAGCATTAGTTTAATTCTCAGGTATGCTGTTCATTTCTTTCTAGCCCCCAATTAGTAAAAAAAGCATTTAACTCTTTTGGTGTTTTTTGGGGGGTAGGGGTGGGGGTTGTATTTTCTTTTTTAGTAAACACTTTTGTTTTACTAATATTTTCATGTCGAAAAATGTAGGGCAGTGTTCCATTTAAACTTGGGTTTGACATTGTATTTAGTGGCTCTGGATCCATGTGGTAGGAGCTCATTGATGATTCAAGCTGATTTATTAACCATCTTTTTGCTACAGTTACACATAAACATGGTGGAACTAGTAGAAAAGACTAAGAACTCTGCTTTTTTAAGAGCCTGATGCTACTGTCAAATAAATGACTGGTTTGTAAGTTTTTTTGTTGTTGCTAGGAACCACAGCAATTCCTAGCAGAAACAAATAAAAATGCCCATTCTTCTTTCATGCTTGCCAAATTCAGTAATGTTTTTGTGTCTGTTTATATCAGTAATACATTCTCATTATGGAAAAGTTAGACGACAGAAAAGTATGAAGAAAAACGATGTCAACCTTTATTAATTGCATGATATTCCTTTGTATGGGTGTGCCATGATTCCTATCACTTTTTCCCATTGGACATTTTAGATTGCATCTCATAATGTTACAGTTGAGTGTCCTTGTGCACAGATTTTTCCTTAGGAAAAATTCCTAAAGGTGAATTTCTGGGTCAAGGGTATAAACACTTTTGTAGTTCTTGATTCATGTCACACCTTACCAAGTGGATATACTAATTTCCACCCCAACCCTGTGGTGTGAGAAGAGCTATCTGACTGTATTTTCCAAGAACATGCACGATTTATCTCTATCTGACTATTTTCCAAGAACATGCACGATCTATCTTTATGCAGCTATCTGAACTAAGACTCTGCCTTGCTGGCCTGGATGAGATAGGCTAACTGATTTTGGAGTTAATTAGCAGAGATTTTCCTGAGCTGTCTCAGTATCAGATATATCTGACATGTTCCAGAAACACCTGTATGTAGATATCCCAATGGTTTTTCACAGAGTTGGGTTTTTTTTGTTGTTTTTTTCACTGTGAAGTAGCCCGTTGCCAGGGTACACTTTCCAGTCTTAGAAAATATTGACACTTTAAACATATTGTGCCTAGGGCCAGCCCTTAGTAGCCTGCTCTTTTTCCTCTTCCTGTAGGCTCCATTTTGGCCTTTTAGTAGGATCTCCTGAGCCAAAGGCAGTCCAACCCAAACTGGGAATGTGGTAAGGCTAAAACAACAGCTGGCCAAGCTTTGCCTGTTTTACTTTGTATCCTTTCATGTTTCCGATCAGATCTTGGTGTTCTAAGGGCAGCTATGGGGAAAGAGAAACAGGTAGCTAGCTTCAGGTATTTAAGGTGTGTTATTTTCTTGATTGGTATACCACATCGATTATTTCCCATTGGCTTTTTATTTCTGAGTGGCTTTAAAGCTTACTTTAGAATCTCAAAGTTTAACTCTTTTTAATGAAGAAGAGTGTTGTGTTAGAAAATAGACCATCCTCTTATTTTGGCCGTCATCAGACTACTCAGCGAATGTTTATTCAGTATGTTTTGTAAGTGTATGTAGAGTACAGTAGTAGAAACCATGTGGTCGCAGACTGCAAAGGGCTTATAGTCAAGTTATCAAAAATCAATAATTTTTACCTAACACTGTGTCCAGAACTTTACAAAAAAGACTCATTCCTTACAATAGCACTTCAAAGGGGAGTGGTACTGTCCCTATTTTACAAATGAAGAAACGTGTTTTGGGATGTTTTGCGGTAGACTTGGGAGTCTGAAATAGATCGAAACCCAAAAGCCCTCTCTCTGACAGAACTGAAATGGCATTAACTAGGTACACTACCTAGGAGACTGATATGAGAATCTGGACATAATTCTGAGAACTGATTTCAGACATGGCCACAGGAACAAGGAAGGGAGTGGATCTTGGAGCCATTTCAAAGGAATACTCAAGATTCAGTGTGAAATGGGCATGGGAGTAAGGGCTGAGCCCATTTCTCAAGCCTGAGCAACCAGGGTAATGGTGCTATTTACAGATCCAGGAGGCAGTTAGCATGGACATTCTCTGTAGGGGGGACGATGGTGAGTTTGATATTCACCATGAGGTTTCAGACAGGAAGCACTCATTGTTTTGCTGCTGTCTTTCAAGGAGTGCAGATTTCCCTTGTCCTCCATTTCATCTTCATTTGTCTTCATTCTGTGTATATTCTAGTCCCTCCCAATTGACCACCCATCCTCCTTCCTCCCTGAACCATGCTCAGTGGCATCTCAACCTTTTCATTTTTCTCTTCCCTGCCCTGCCATAACAAGTTTGGTTGTCACCTGAAGTGCTACCGTAGCTTGCAGCTCTCTCCAGTGTGGTCTGTGCTCACATTCCACAGAGGTCAAGAGTTGGTACTTGCCTCCTTTTCTATCATTTCTAAGAAATGAAAGGCCTGTAAATCAGAAGTCAGTGAAGAGTTTTCAGTCATTAGCAGTGATGAGCATTTGTTGAGTTTGGTATTACTCTCTCCATTTTGTAAATGTGGAAATAGAATCTGACGGTAAGTGATATGCCTAAGGTCTAGCAGCTTGATGGTGGGGAGCCAGGCATCAAACCCAGCTTTTAATCACAAGACAGACCTTTCCTGATCAGTCTAACCTTTCCTGATCAGTCTATCTAAAAAGTGGGTGTTTCCTGACAATCCTTATGCATCACCCTGTTTCTGTCCTGTATGGCACTTGTTACAACTGGTGTTTATGTATGGGTTTATTGTGTACTGTTTCCCCTACGAGATTGTGAGCTCCGTGAGGGCAGGGCTGATATTTTATTTCACTTGCATCCCAGAGCCTAACATG